AAGCTTTCGACTGTGACTTCAGCAAACCAAGGACTTCAAGATAGAGCCTAAAGAGTAGGACTGACACTATCCGATCCCCCATGAAAACAACCCCCCAAGTGTAATGGCCTCCAGGCATCGTTTCTTCATTGCAGATCTCCGGAAGGGATGGCCGGAGGAGAAGCCATACCACGAGGTTCCGATCGCATTGGTGCGTTGGAGAGGGAGTCTCGGCCCCCCTGGGGAATCATTGAAGCATTGACGGTTTAGGGCGATTTAGGGGGTTTAAGCTTTAGGTTTAAAAACACCGACATGTGGAAGTTTTCCCCAAAGCCGAGGCGTGATGGGGCACAGAGAACGGAGCTTGTGAGATTCTACTCCCACATGCCTGCACGGCCCTTGCGGGCTTTCTACAGGCAGCCAGACATGCACACCCGGGAACTACCTTTCGCAGAGATGCAGATTGCATGGTTCGAGATGACCAACGTATCAGAAAGTGCAGAGCGGATGGAGCCCAAGAGCTTTCTGGACTTCAGTTTCTCAACCGCAATGGGATTGGTCTGGAGATGTGCGCATGCAGCCCAAGCATACTCGCTCCACGATCGCAGTGCATCCAATGCGAATGTCCTACTGAATAATCTGTTCTGGATGCCTCAGAAGACGAGCTACGCCTGGCATTTTCGCAGGCTCACGGTCCTTCCGGATCCCGTTTTGCAAGCAGAGTTCCGTCGCCACCAGCAAGTTGACTCCATACTCGACTCCAGGCTCGAGAAGTGGTACAAAGAGGAGGCTGCGGCGCGTTTCGAGGAGTCAGCCTTAGCCTTGCAGAGTTTGCCCCTGAGCCGCTTTCACTTGGCCGTCCTTGGCTCTCACGACCTCTCCAGGCCGGCCAAGGCCCGACGAGCAGCCAGGGCCCTGAACCCCTTGGGAAGCTGCAAAGGTCACCCCCACGGCCACAAGATCTTGGTGCACTGGAATGCGGTGAAGACGGCACGAAAAGAGGCGCGAGACAGCAGACATGGGCCGGGGGAAGGCGAGATCTTCATGCCTCACAGCCGCTTCGCCCTTCTCCAGATCTGCCTCTATGATTTTATGTGGAATGGCGCCTGGGGCCAGGTGGAGAACCGAAGCGGATCCGAGGCTCCCTTCGGAAGGCTTCAGGAGCTCTGCTGTGCACACTTCGCCAGCAGGTGGTGCAAGACACCGCCCGGCCAAGTGCGGAAGATCCAAACCTTCCCGCAAACCCCGTGGGGTGCGAGATGTCCAGCCACAAGCTCCGCCACAGACAGAGCAGAAAGAGCAGATTGGGAATGCCCAGCACCAGAGATCTTTGAGGAAGACAGCTTCTGGCGGGTTGCTATGATCCTGAACCAGCACCTGCTCAGAAATCCCTTTTGGGGCCAACCCTGCGAAGTCCAAGTGCGAGAGCCTCTCGGTGAAAGTTCGGAGGAAGACATGACTACCATTATTGCATTGCTGTTATTGAACCCTCCTGATGGTGAGGAGGAGGAGCAGGAGGAGGAGGATGCGCTAATCAATTTAAATAGGTGGATAAACAATCGGTAAACAAACAAACCAAAAGTAATTGCATGGATTGCATGCCTGCATGAATGCATGCTTGCATGGATAGGTGGAGGAATGGACGCCGGAAGAGCAGAAGAGCGAAGCGACTTAAGGAATGCGGACTGAAGACATATACGTAAACGCATGAGACTGGCCCTCTCAGACTCTCCCTTTCCCCCTGGCCCCTCTGTCGATCTATCCATCTATCCACCTGTCTATCTGCCTGTCTATCTGTATATCTATCCATCCATCTATCTATCTATCTATCTACCTATCTACCTATCTCTATCTATCTATCTACCTATCTATCTATCTATCCATCTATCTATCTATCTATCTATATTATATTATATTATAT